TATATATATATATAGTATTATATATTTACTTTATTGAATAGGCCTATTGTATTAAAAATTAAATATTTGTTAAATAATGTTTTATTTTAATTATTTAAATACGTAATATCTTGTGCTATAACATATATAAATTTAAGTTATATATTTATATAGGTAAGTATAAATGTAGTATTATATATTTATATAAATATATAATATACTTTATTGACCAGGCGTTTTGTATTAAAACGAAATAAGATTCGGAAGGTAAAATCTTTTCAAATAAAACATGAAATTAAAAATATTTATTAAATAACTATATACCCAAGTATTTAAATAATAAATAAAAATACCTTATGCGTGAATAGTGTAGGTATTTTTATTTGCCAAATAAAAATACAAAAATAATAGTCCCATATTGGCAGCATGTAATTGCAATGATAAGAAAATATGGGGTAAAATATTTTACTATGCCAAGCAACATTTACATTATATTGGCGTCTGTCAAATTTACGATTTATTATTTTGTTTTGATAAATGTTTTTTACAAAAATATAAGATGCTAGGTAGTATTAACCCGTGAAATGAGATTTTAAAATTTTTTTCATTATTATTTGATGAGTTGCGAAACCCTTTCACAGCACAGTACGTAATTTTTTTGCAAAATTACGCGAGCTCTTTACACGACTACGTAGACCAGAGTACTGACCATAGAGTAAAGTATTATATACAGAAACTGAGTAAAGTAATATATACAGATACTGACGCGCTGAAAGTCGTAAGTAGCCTTAAAAGGCTAACTTGAAATGGCTTCACTTTGTGCGCCTACTGCAGTTCTAAGCCTAATAATCTATGCACGCGATTTACGAGAAAGATGGTTCCCTGTCTCGTGGTAATATATGAAAACAAAGGGCCTCAGTCTTAAGACGAACTATTTCTTATCATAACTCGCGGATTTTTGTGACGATGACTTCCGTACCAAGCCGTCAATTAGTGACCCCATTGGCGACCATCAGTGACTCACAACTCTGCTTTATCTCGTAACGGAACGTACGGTTTCTTAGTTTATTTTACGTTTTGATTAATATTTTTGATTCAGTAGCGATTATAATAAGCTTTAAAGTGATGGCAATAATTCTCATAAAATTATTATGTTGTGTAGTTGTGGCGTAAAATAATCCGATCCTTCCCATAGGTGTCGTAAGAGGGCTTCCTTAAAGGTGGATTATGTCAGTATTTTAATAAATTTGAGCGTATTCAAAATCTGGCTAATAGGTTCATATTTAGTTTGCGCAAATATGACCATCTCTCCGAATTCCGTTTAAAGCTCAAATGGTTACCCATCCACCTTCGCCGGAAACCGGAATCTACAAAATGTTTCTCTTCTGTACTGTGTATTATTCAATCCAACGCCTAGCTATCTGAAGAAAAACTTTAAGTTTCTTGGTCATGAGAGAATGGATAGAGTTCTACGGTCAGCCGAAGAACTTATACTCGTGCCGCATTATTAACGTACTAAATACTTTAAGAATTCCTTCACGGTTAAGGCCATCTGCTTATGGAATGATCTTCACTTGCAATATACTAGATAAGTTTAAGACTGACGTCAAAAATCGCTACCTAATTCTGCAGTAATCTTTTGGTCTGGTCATCACTTGCGACATTTAATTTTTGTATCCTGTCTGTATTTATTTATGTAAATTTTATGTGTATTTGCCTATTTATTATTATGTAAGTCTATCATGTTTTTATTGTATATATTAGTGTATAAAATATTTTGTTAGTATGAATCGGTTTACTTTATTTATGTATTAGTATGTAAGTTCGTTATAATATACACCACCTCACACTGTCCAATAGTACAATTTTCTCCTAATCTTAAGGTTGTCCAGAAGAGATCGCTTTTAAGCGACAAGACCACCTTATCGTACCTACCTCTTTCTGTAATCTTTTTTATAGTCTTGTGGTGTGCAATAAAGAATATAATAATAATAATATTATTTTGTTAAGAATTGGTGAAAAAGTCACTAAGTCTTGATACATATTTTACAGCGAAAGGCATTGACATTCCGTTAGCGTAGCAAGTTATTCTATGATATGAAATCATCAAGCCTGAATCCTCCTAAGATGTGAATAGCTCCGGTACCGTTGGAGCAATATGTTTCAATCTTGGTAAATGAAAGCCACTAATAAGTCACTAAATCTTAAAATAGGAATCACATCTCAAAAGAAACAATAATAGGTGTTTTCGAGGGGAGGCTGCTTTCTTGAATTTAGGCCGTAATCTTCTCAAAAAGGGGCTGTTTCTCCTAAAGTATTAAGAACTAAACTTTTTCTTTAGTCACTAATTCTCACTAAATCCTCCCTAATTATTAACATAGTAAAATTTGGGTTATCGTTGGAAAGAATTACAGCTTGAATGACGCGTAAGGGACGACTATAGAAAATGCAAAAATTTACGGGAGATAAATACCTAAAATTACAATAACCTAGCCGGTTATTTGTGGTCGAAGAACCAGCTAGATAACCAGCTATTTATCTATATGGCTATTTGGATAAATAACTCACTAAACAACTGATATTTGATTCCGTTAGCGTAGTAACTGTATCCAGGACTTAAATAACGCGCAACTGCTCCGTGATTACGCTCGAATCTCGAAGCGAAACATATTTATATTTAGATAAAAAATAAATAAAAAATAATCACTTTCGTTTTTATTTTCTTTTCCTTATTTTATATTTTCTAGAAAGAAATGAATATCTCTTATAATACATAAATAGAACACCCACATCCACATCCACATCACCTGGATGCTTGGCGGTCCATGACTGTACGTTTCACTAGGAGTTTTCTTCCGCGTACGACCTCTCTGTGGAATAGTTTAACACCGGTGCTTTTTCCGGACCGATACGACTTAGGGAACTTCAAGAAAAGAGCTTCCTCCTTTCTAAAAGGCCGGCAACGCAATTGCAATTCCCCTGGTGTTGCAGTTGTTCATAAGCAGCGAGAGTCACTTAACATCAGGTGAACCGTATGCTCATTTGCCCCCTCTTCTATAAAAAAAGAGTCCCTATACTCTAGTCCTATACCCGAATTCAAAATTTTTTGTTTTAATTTTTTGTAAAATATCAGTTCCATAGGCTTCTACTCCGTTCACATGTTACACCCTATTTTTCCAGACGTTAAAGATCACCTGAATATATTAAGTCGATAGTGCTCGTTTCTCACCCTAATTCCATTAAAAAATACTATATCTTCTAATAGAATTTCAAAATTAGTACGTAGAAATTATTTTAATGAAACTACATTTAAAAACCACTAGAATTTTGTCTAAATAGTTACATTAAAATTTTTATCCCCTACTTTTCTACCCTGAATGGTGGATTTTTTCCCCAAACTCACAATATGGGACCTCCGCTATATAAAACTATTGAATAAAAAAGACTCATTAAAAAGTAAAAACTAGCCAAGTGCGTGGCGGGCCACGCACAATGTAGAGGTTGGGGTTCGGTAGTTGCCCGTCACAATATATGGGCTTTCTTGATAATGAACATAATAAGTGACTTCGCGGTTTGACCGCTATAATGACGGGCACAAATAGCAAGACGGAAACTAAAGGATTTATTTTCAAATCGGACTTATAGCGAGTGGTATTCAAAAAAGTTCAAAAAATTTCGATTTTGAAAATAACAAAATTTACATCAAACCATGCACAAATGGCTAATCCATACAGAGACGGTGGATGGTAAGAAAATGACTATCTATCTATATATTCTGGTTAGTGCAACCCTAAGATATATATGACCGTAACACATCTTCCCGTAAACCACCACTGCCCTAAATTATCCTGATAATCACCCACGTAAACTTAGAGTATGACGAATGAAACTGTGTGAGGCTAAATAATTGTATGAATACTTTGATTGAGGCCTACAATAACTCCCAACTAAAAAATAAGCAAAAGTAGTAAGTAAGTATGATCCTCCTTGCCTATCCTGGAAATAAAAAAGTAAAGCTATAGTAGTAATGTATATATAAATCGTTTTCTTCATAAAATGTTTATTTCTTAGAGTTCACAATAACCTTACAAAGTTATAATGCAGGTAGTTTTATGTAATTTTCTATAGAGTTGTAATGAAATTTTTACTAATCCAAGTGCATTTTATAAATTCGTCGATTATTACTCGTTAATTATACTTGGCTGTGATAATTTTTCTTTTAACTTCGTGTATTTTCGTGTAATTGTGTATATTTTTCACATTTCCAAAAACAGCGGTTTAGTTGGTAGTCACATGATTCTAAAGAAAATACGACTTTAAAGCTTAATATTTCGCAAATGACTGCCTCGTTGGTCTAGTGGTTGTAGTAATGCGACTGCTGATCATGAGGTCCTGGGTTCGAATCCCGGGTCGGGTAAAAAAAATCAATTATTGAGTTTTTCTGTCAAGAAATTCTCAGTAGCTGCCAGGAGTCAGAAAGTTGGCGGTGTCTCACCCCAGTGCCTCGGAAAGCACGTAAAGCCGTTGGTCCTGCGCCTGATCTCTCTCCCGGTCGTGTCGGTTTACCGTCCCATCGGATTACGAGAGTGAGGGAATAGAGAGTGCACCTGTGCTTGCGCATATACTTGGGCACTATAATCCTTTCCGCGCCGATGGCTAGCCTCCATTGAGGCAGGCCGCCGTGGCCGAAATTCGGTCTGGAGGACATTATTATTATTATTATTTCGCAAATGAACCCCTGAATCGAAAAGATGTTCTTCCCTACTCCCAATGTTTTTTAAAAACTATGTATAAGATATATTTATAGCTATGCCAAATTACAGATTTGTAGCACCTAGTGTCTTTAAATAACACCGCGGACGACACAGACGTTCTTTGTTGTGTAACTACGGAACCCTAAAAACGGTTTACAATTGACGAAGATATCGCGTAACATGCAAAAAAATAAAATATAAGTCATACAGTTTTCTAGAACACGTTTTAAAAAGAAATTCTGATATAACATGTGTGATTATTTTTACCTCTCTAATTGAATATTCGTAGCCATCGGGGTTTACTAACGGGATGACCACCCAGTCCAACAACTCCATCTGAGGGTTGTTTACTATATCGACCACCAACCGGTGGATAACATTCAGAGCGACGAGTACCGGGAGCCATTCACGAGCATGCATGCCGGCGTCAACGACGACGACGCGTTTCCTGGGCTCTTCGAATCGTGTTGTAGATATCCTCACGTATTTGATCTGACGACCTTCATAAGTCAGGGCTGCGTTTACAACTGTGAATAAGTTTGGATATTGCTCGGCCAGATCGTCCAGGTAATTGTTTATCTGTAAGATATTTAAGGGTATGAGATTTGGATGTATTACATGCAAAAAAAAAAACTTCCGATGTCTTACCTCTTCATGTCCATGGTATGCGTTCCAGATTGAGCTGCCATTTTGTTTCGAGTCATACTTTGCTCTTATATTTTTTGCTTCTTCATCGCGAAGAATACTAGAAAAGTAATAAGAGTATGACAAAAAAAACCTATGGAAGGTTTCATTTAATTTTAATAAAATTATCACCATTAACGAATTTAGGTCTTATTCTTTACTAGGAAATTGCTGTTAAAACGGCCACTTAGTCTCTAAACATTCGTGTATTGAAACATGGAAACAATGCGGCTCTAACGGCACGGTCCTAAAGATGTGTGTTTTCTTTTATAGCATAAGGGTGACAAACGAGCACACTTTCCACCTGATGGTAACTGGATGCTATGGCCCATAGACATCTACATTTATCCTCGATTAAGAATCAAAACGCAAAAGTCTTGTCACCCCTGAGGACTAAGATGGAATGCCTCGTTTCCAGTAAAAAAGGGTCTCCGGATCTCTACACTCAGTATTAAGCTGCTTTACAAAATATATCTTGCCCGGTCGAGCCGACCCATTCGTGCTACAACCATAATATAGCTGCAGCGTGGCTGAACCACGTATAAATATATATATAGTATGTGGACCTAGATGGACACTACTAAATAACGAAATGTGTGAACGAATATGTTATTGGTTCAATAGCTTTTGTTTGAGGAATTTTGACGTCACAAATGAATCTCTTAGTCGCCCAGAGAAGGTTTAGTGACTCCACTCCAGTTCTCTATACCCATATCATCCCTTGAGTGACTTAAAAATCTACATAGAGAAATATACCATAAGATGAGCACCAACATTTTCCTGTAAACAACTCAAAATATAAAAACTACTGTACGATACGCATGCTAAGCGTGGGAACTATCGAAAATATTTACCCTATATATCCTTTTACGACTTTTTTTTGGGACTTTTGTGTCCAACAGTGGACTTTTGATAGTTTATAATGATTATGATGATGATGAATTAAAAAATATTTCTAAAGATTAGTAAGGTGAACATCTTTGTTATTTCATTATCATAGAAAATATTGAAATTTCTTAATTTACTTACTCTGCTAGATTATCGACTATCTTAGTATATGATATTTGTTTTTGATTGAAGTATTGCAGCCATTTTTGTTTAGCTTCTGGAGACAGTTTGATCAAGGCCTCAAGTTGCCCAGATGTTGAACGAACTGCTGGTGTCTGCGATATGATGTCTAGATGGGCTTCTAATGCTCCAATTTCTTGTGATGGTCCCGCCACACGATACAGTTGATGACTGGACGTGTAAGTTATTAATTGTGTAAGTTTTATTTTAAACAGAAAGATAATTTTCATTCTCTTAGTTAGCATACGTCATACATTCAATTCCTGGATAGAAGCTCTTTTTAAGCTAGGAGTATTTGGTGTTATCTTAGTCTGAAATATAATCTGGACAGTTATTTATGTTGTACTTATTATTGTTACGTACATATTTTACAACCCGAGATAAATACATGTGTATTGTGCAATATACAGATATAAATATAATCTTAAAATATCTATAACACTCATATAATAGAATATATATAATTTTAGTTAAAAATGGAGAATAATATGTTGTAATAAGTTATATTTATTTAACGGACTAACGTACGAGTAAATTGACTGTGGATAATGACGACGTAGGTAACTTGGAATATGCATATAGCCTATCTTAGATCTAAAATGCCATAATATTATCTATGCACGAGAGGTGCCTGAGGAGGAAAATAGATCTGACTACACAAGGAAATTACAATATTTCCGGAAGACCTCGTTATACATACAGTGAACAAATGTTGGTAGTCATCACGTATTAGAAGCCCTTAACTGGGCCAAGGTGAAGACGTGTCTCATTATTTAGTTAAGTGGCTACGTAGAACTAAGTTAATGTACTTATTACTAATAATTCCTACAAAGGAGAGAGAATGCCGTGCTTTCCTTATTGTTGATGTTTGTTCTTGCGATCTATCTACGAGATATATATATATATATATATATATATATATATATATATATATATATATACAAAAGTCCCAAAAAAAGTCGTAAAAGGTATATATCCTTTGGGTAAATATTTTCGATAGTTCCCACGCTTAGCATGCGTATCGTACAGTAGTTTTTATATTTTGAGTTGTTTACAGGAAAATGGTGGTGCTCATCTTCTGGTATATTTTTCTATGTAGACTTTTACGTCACTCACGGGATAACATGGGTATAGAAAACTGGAGTGGAGTCACTAAACCTTCTCTGGGCGACTAAGAGATTCATTTGTGACGTCAAAATTCCTCAAACAAAAGCTATTGAACCAATAACATATTCGTTCACACATTTCGTTATTTAGTAGTGTCCATCTAGGTCCACATACTATATATATATTTATACGTGGTTCAGCCACGCTGCAGCTATATTATGGTTGTAGCACGAATGGGTCGGCTCGACCGGGCAAGATATATTTTGTAAAGCAGCTTAATACTGAGTGTAGAGATCCGGAGACCCTTTTTTACTGGAAACGAGGCATTCCATCTTAGTCCTCAGGGGTGACAAGACTTTTGCGTTTTGATTCTTAATCGAGGAATAAATGTAGATGTCTATGGGCCATAGCATCCAGTTACCATCAGGTGGAAAGTGTGCTCGTTTGTCACCCTTATGCTATAAAAGAAAACACACATCTTTAGGACCGTGCCGTTAGAGCCGCATTGTTTCCATGTTTCAATACACGAATGTTTAGAGACTAAGTGGCCGTTTTAACAGCAATTTCCTAGTAAAGAATAAGACCTAAATTCGTTAATGGTGATAATTTTATAAAATTAAATGAAACCTTCCATAGGTTTTTTTTGTCATACTCTTATTACTTTTCTAGTATTCTTCGCGATGAAGAAGCAAAAAATATAAGAGCAAAGTATGACTCGAAACAAAATGGCAGCTCAATCTGGAACGCATACCATGGACATGAAGAGGTACGACATCGGAAGTTTTTTTTTGCGTGTAATACATCCAAATCTCATACCCTTAAATATCTTACAGATAAACAATTACCTGGACGATCTGGCCGAGCAATATCCAAACCTATTGACAGTTGTAAACGCAGCCCTGACTTATGAAGGTCGTCAGATCAAATACGTGAGGATTCACAACACGATTCGAAGAGCCCAGGAAACGCATCGTCGTCGTTGACGCCGGCATGCATGCTCGTGAATGGCTCCCGGTACCCGTCGCTCTGAATGTTATCCACGGGTCTATTGAATAACCTAGTCATCGTAGTAAACCCGATGGCTACGAATATTCAATTAGAGAGGTAAAAATAATCACACATGTTATATCAGAATTTCTTTTTAAAACGTGTTCTAGAAAACTGTATGACTTATATTTTATTTTTTTGCATGTTACGCGATATCTTCGTCAATTGTAAACCGTTTTTAGGGTTCCGTAGTTACACAACAAAGAACCCTCACAGTTTCGTCATGTTCGCTCGTCCGCGGTGTTATTCAAAGACACTAGGCGCTACAAATCTGTAATTTGGCATATTTATAAATATATCTTATACATAGTCTTTAAAAAACATTGGGAGTAGGGAAGAACTTCTTTTCGATTCAGGGGTTCATTTATGAAATAATAATAATAATAATGTCCTCCAGACTGAATTTCGGCCACGGCGGCCTGCCTCAATGGAGGCTAGCCATCGGCGCGGAAAGGATTAGAGTGCCCAAGTATATGCGCAAGCACAGGTGCACTCTCTATTCCCTCACTCTCGTAATCCGATGGGACGGTAAATCGACACGACCGGGAGAGAGATCAGGCGCAGGACCAACGGCTTTACGTGCTTTCCAAAGCACTGGGGTGAGACACCGCCAACTTTCTGACTCCTGGCAGCTACTGAGAATTTCTTGACAGAAAAACTCAATAATTGATTTTTTTTACCCGACCCGGGATTCGAACCCAGGACCTCATGATCAGCAGTCGCACTACTACAACCACTAGACCAACGAGGCAGTCATTTGCGAAATATTAAGCTTTAAAGTCGTATTTTCTTTAGAATCATGTGACTACCAACTAAACCGCTGTTTTTGGAAATGTGAAAAATATACACAATTACACGAAAATACACGAAGTTAAAAGAAAAATTATCACAGCCAAGAATAATTAACGAGTAATAATCGATGAAGTAGAAATAATTTATGAAGAAAAAAAAAATATTACTAATAATTCCTACAAAGGAGAGAGAATGCCGTGCTTTCCTAACTGTTGACGTTTGTTCTTGCGATCTATCTACGAGTATATATATATATATATATATATAAAATATTGTGTGCAGGGAGTTTTGGGGGCAATAAATCGATCTAGCTAGGATTTATTTTTAGAAAATATCTTTTTTGTCCGTGTTTTTAGGTAATGAAAAACTGCTACAATATCGTTAGAATAAGAAGGTAAATTTTGACAGGTTATTAATGATTACAAATAGCTTAATTGGTATATTGGGCGGTCACAAAATCGTAATACCATTGTTCGAGCCCAGACCGACCGACCGACCGACTCTTTTCAATTTTTTTTGCAAGTTCCTTTCCTTTTTGAGAAAATCTATTTTTTTCGAGCCCTTTTTTTAGTATTTTTTAAAAACACGAAAATTTAAATTAAACTAATTGCACTCATGATTTTTTTATTCAAATAACCAGTTCAGTTTTTACTATTATGTCGCTACGATCAAAAAATATTATTCGTATTTCATCAGTATGTAATTTGTATCTAAATATAATTTCCAAAACACACGAATTAAAAAAAAAACCGAGCGAAAAATACCGAGCAAAGCTCGGTCAACCGGGTACTATATATATATATATATATATATATATATATATATATATATATATATATATATATATATATGTATAAAAGGGGATGTCTTGAGTGACTAGCTCATTTATCAACGTACGGCACAAACCATTAGACGTAGAAATCTGAAATTTGGACAGTAGATGCCTTTTACGACGTGTTGGATGTTACGATCCACGCTTGGTTGATGTTCCGAATATTCGAATTAAGCGTTATAAGACATCTTGTCATCTTTTATAACGTGCACCGCCAAGAAGTCGAATGCCTTGCTGGCGTCTGCTTTTCCAAATGCGTACAACCTGAACCTCTTTTAGTTTTTGCGGGTAAACAGGCTTCTCCTAGACAAACTTGATCCCATTTCTAATAAAAAGATATCCACTAAGTAAGGATTTTTAAAAATTAAATCCCTAAGACGGTGAAAAGGGTGTCACAGCTTGTATAATTTATTTTTTATTTTACGAAGCGATTTCAAATAATAAAATATAAATATTAATTTTTTTACAAATTTATCCTTACGGTCAGTAGCGGCGTTACGGCAGGGCGTGGTTGTGCGACCGCCCAAGGGGCCACACGTGAAGGGGTGCCAAAGGCGAAAAAGTAAAAGTGAAGGAGAAAAAGTAAAGTCCGAAATTATATCGCGAGGCAAAAAATCCAAATACTATGCGATTATATCTGACTGCACCCGAGATATTACTCACGTAGAATAACTTTCATTCACAATCCGATTTGTTGATTTATCATCAAATGAAAATGAAACAAATGTAAAGGAGCATTTTATAGAATTTTTGAAAATCAGTGACACCAGTGGTGTAGGTACAACTGATCATTTGAATCTGAACTATTATTAGTATTTTAAATAAACATGGACTTCAATTGGTTATGACAACGGAGCGAATATAAAAAGAAAAAATGTTGGAGTCCTACGAAAATTTTATTTCTGGACTAAAATTCCTTAGCTATTTATATACCGTGTGAGTGAGGGTAGGTTCACACGGCGCTTTGCGTCAACGTTGCGTCGACATAGCGCTGTCACTGCGTTGTTTTATGTACTAATACAATGTACTCTGTGCTAATAACCGTAGTGTTCACACGATGCGCTACGTTGGCACAACGCGCAAACAACTGTCTGTAAACACTCGAGACGAAGCGGCAACGCTCAGTTGTTTGTGCGTTGATAGTACGCATGGTAATTTCGTTTTTTCTTTGAGTTTAATTTGCAGAGTAAAATGAGTACTCCATAGCCATATGAGTACTCCATAAGTACAGTAAACTATTAAAGACATTGATATGGATTACTTCATTTAATTCAGGAAATTTTCAAATATATTGTTACGAGCTTGAAGTTCGTGACAATAAAAATTGCCGATAGAATTACCTAAATTAACACTTTAATTTTCTTTACACCAATTAAAACTTAAAACATTAAAAATTAATCACACTGATTCACTTTATTCCGCTCCGAAGCTTCGCTTGTCTCGCCAAATTCAATACTTCCCCGATCGCACCTTGCAGCACCTATAAATACACATTAGTACCGAAACATTCAGAACATTCAAGTAAATACGCGCACCAATCGACAAAGCGCCGAAATTTCGAGTCTCAGCTTCTAGAAGTTTAGTTCTTCGTTTCGACAACAGATGGCGCTGTCGGTTGAAAGATTAGTGATGTCACTTTCTGGAAAGCTCTCTCCTCGCTCTGTTACCCGACACTAGATGGCGCTAGTGCCAGAGGTCAACTTAGCCGCGCAACAATATAATAACTTGATAACGACTCTCTAAACTTTAATGACTCTTATGATAATTTTTGATTATAAACATTATGAAATAAACCGACAAAAAATATCGCAAAGTAATACTCAGCTTTTCTATTGGCTTCACTGAATTCTTCATAGTAGTATAGTTTTTCGGTATGTGTGTCTTTAAGAACTTCAATAAATATTCAAAGCTGGACACAATTATTCTAAAGAAATTATAAAACTTCTTTTCGTCCAACAGCAACTCCTGATATTCTAACAAAAAAAAAAAACCATCAATATTTCTTAATGAAATTAAGGGACAGATCCAATACCGTCTTGTGATTTTGCGTCGATTTCAGCGGTGACGTAGTAATGTGAGCAATGCCAGACGTCTTTTTCGATCCATGTTTCCGGATAGACCGCGATGTTTTTACAAAATGCTCACCGCAAATGTGCGTCGCCGCTACGACGACGGAACATTACAACTGCGTTGTAGCACCGCTGCGATGATCCAACGCCAGTGTGGCTGGCAATGCGTCAAAATATTTGCGTTGCGACGACGCAATGTAACGCAACACTCCGTGTGAACTCGCTTTCAGTCAGTCATGTGCGCGTTGCATCAACGCAGCGCACCGTGTGTACACTATGGTTACTAGTATGTAAAACGACTCAGCATTACGTTAACGCAACGCTGATGCAACGCGCCGTGTGTACTTAGCCTTAGGCTGCCATAACTACAATCTCGTACCATGCGATACTCCTAGGCCATCAATAAAATCTGTCCCTTGGTTTGGGGTGCTTCAGAGGTTGTTCACATTGTTTTTAGCTTCAGTTTATAGAAGGAAAATTCTAAATCATCACTTAGGTTTATATTCATATATATAAAGTCGATGGCTGTCTGTTAGTCTATTTAAAGCTTGAAACTGTTTCAACTTTTTCTGATGAAATTTTTTGCATGTGTTTAAATAGGTCCCTGGATGGTTTTTTTAGTTTCACATTGGGACCCGGTAGGGGGCACTGTTGTTGAGATCCAGAAATAGTCCGTGCTAAGCTGCGGCAAATAGCTAGTATTCAGTAAAAAAGCTCAGTAAAACACGTTGGGAAAAAAGCAGAAATTAAGCAGTCAACTATCCAATTAGTAACGTTCATGATGCTTTAATTACTTTGGCTATTGAAGTTGAACCAACGTTCCAATCTCTTACGATACCACTACTCTAGCCCAATAGCTAAAAGATTTCTGCTTCCAGATAGACGTCATTAGTAAATTCCTGCAATCACCAAATATGGATCTCTCTAAATGCACAGAGATGTGCAGGAAATACTGCCCTTTCTTGAAAAAGTAAAGAAAAACGGGTTTTGAAAGCGTCATTTCATTAGCGAGAGAGTTGGCGGAAGAACTTGAAATTGAACCAGTATTTATAACCACAGCAAGTATCATCATCATCATCATTACAGCCCTTCACAAGTACACTGTTGAACATAGGCCTCCCCCAAGTAATGCCACAAAGCACGGTCCTGAGCCACGTGCATCCATCGACTTCCTGCATGACATACCAGGTCGTCACTCCATCTAGTGGGGGTCGCCCTACACTACGCCTACCGGTACGAGGCTGCCACTCGAGAACCTTTCTTCCCCATCGGTTATTGGTTCTTCGAGCTATATGGCCGGCCCATTGCCACTTCAGCTTACTAAT